GGTCTGAAAAAAACACAGTACTGTGGGTGGAAGCAGGCACTGATTATGTGACTTCACAACACCTTTTGATCCATGGTTTTTTTTGCCTTTTCTACCAGAATCAAAAGCACTGAGCCTCAAAGCCCCCCATGGGCCCCAGGTCACTCAGAGGTGTGCACTAGCTCAAGACTTGGAGCTCCTCAATATTTAAATTCCTTGAATAGCAGCTTTTTTTCTGTGCAGAAAACTGCCCTGCCAACCACCTGCCCTGGCACAGCTCCCCAGGCTGCCACAGGAGGAACACACCAGGTTAACCCAGCCCTGCCATGTGGATCCCATCTGCCCCCAAAGCACTCATGGGATTCTCCTGGGGACATCACTCTGGAGAAGGGAGTTTGTCAGTGCCTGGACTTTCTTGTCCAGTAAATCCATCCAGGGCAGTGTGCTTGAGTAGCACCCCACAGTGGAGGAGGGCAACACCCAGTGAGCTCAGGGAAGAACATGTTGGAAGGAAAGCTGAATTTACCTCAGCCCCAGAGAGGCTGCAGAGTAACCTAGGGTTGAGATAAGACATCTGTAGCAGTGAATTGTCAGGTGTCCTGAGCCAATTCATAAAGAATCACATCTCCCTGAGAGAGCCAGACCAACGTGGAAGGAACAGACACACAACTGAGCCCAAAGTATAAAAACTGGACAATTTTGCTTTAAAAATTTATTTTAAAAAAGTAAATTCTGAAGGAAGCAAAGCAGGCTTCAAGCTGTGTACTCCTTCCTGAGCACACAGAGACTAGAACAGGCACCTGGATTTGGATCCAACCATACACTGCCATCACTGTGTTCAGCTTCTGCTGTGATTTCAGCATGTTGCTGTATCAATCACCCTGCTCAATCAGACTCCCACCTAACACCAAATACACCAAATAAGTCAATTGGATTTTACACCCTCCTCCTGTGGAACAGCTACACGAGCTTGGCCAGAGCACGTTGAACTCTGACAGCCAGGAAGGCAGCACTGTCACACACAGCCTGGGAAAACCATCCTGGCAATCAGCCCTCCTCTTAACACTCACCCCAGATGGCTCAGACTATTTCTCCTCAGCACTGAAATGCTGAAAACACAGATTTGTGCCTTGTCTAGAGCTCCACACAATTTTCCACTCTGCCCTCATCGAGGTGTGCAGACCACAGCACTGAAAGCCTCCAAGCCAAACCCCCAGAATCACTGTCATTAACAATTTGGCTTCCTGCCATGAAGGATCAGGATTTGAAACAGTCCCCAAAAGGATATTAAAAAGTGAGAAGGCAAAATGTAGTTTTACCTGTGTAGCAAGCAGTGGTTATTTATTAGAAATAAAGAACACTTACTGTTAGTGAAAATCCTTTAATACTCGTAGCCCTGATCTTCTGCACACTCGCAGCTGGACTTGTCAGACTTCCAGCAGCAGGAAACATTAATGTTCTGCATGTGGGTCACTTTCTGGGCTGTTCTTTCACCTTACAGCTCTGGAAACATTTCTGGAGCCATGGATTTCACAGCAGCCAGCCCCCAAATGAAGTGTCTCTAAAGCACACTGCACAAGGCCTGGCTTCCTGCTGCCCCAGATACAGCAATTCCTCTGGGAATGGCAAACAAGAATCTCTAAGAGGGTTTTGCTGTTAAATCTTTTCTTGTTAAGATGAGGAAAGGAAAATCTGCTTTGTGACAGTGGCACTGTGGAGAGTTCAAACCCAAGGGTCACAAAAGAGACACACTGGCAACAAGCTCCTAGCTGGAGGGGAGATTTAATCACAGCAAGTTTCCAATAGGCGCCTCTTCCTCCAGAAAACAAATTTAAAAATCCCAAAAAAATCCATTGTACTTGCAGGCCCGCTGCCCTTTCTGAAGTAGAATAAACAGCCACACAGAAAATGTGTGTAGTGGCTGAAAAAACAGCCAGAAATGCAGGCTACAAACCCCTGGGGAAGGGAATTTGAGGTTGCCTCCATTTCCTACACACTGTCCTCATTATGGAGCAGAATTAACAAAACCTACACCCCCACAGGAGACACCAACACAACTTTCCAGAGGTTACTGCAAACAAGAGGCTTTCAAATAAAATACACTTTGAAAAAGCTTGGAAAGAACATTCCTTCCTCAGCTGTCAGACAAGTGCCCCAAACTCAACATGTCTCCGAGATCCTGGCTTTAAAACTTGAGCCAAAATGGCTTCACTTCCTTTCCTTTCCCTTCTTCAGCAGTTTTCCAAGTATGAGACACTCAGGTTCAACTCAAAAACCCCACTGCTGCTGTTTTAAACTAATAACATTTAAAAGGGATCCTGGTATAGGTGTCTGCTCTGACAGTCACAGCAATAAATTGAGAAACAGAAATGTAAAACTTAATTAAAAGCCAATGTTGAAAAAGTGAGCAGCTCCTGTTCCTACCTCTGCAGGGAGGAAAGTGGATGGGGGGAGGCAGAGTGAAACATGAAGCTCAAAGTCTTTTTGCAAGTCTCTGCATTGAAGCCAGCAGACAGGCTGTGACAGGTTAAAAACCAGGGAGGAGGGAGTGATCCCACTGAGAACGGTTTTGGATAGCACTTGGCCTCCCAGTTTGTAGACAAGGTGGAGATCTAGGCAGATCTTTTTCTGCTGTCACTCTGGACAGCAATTTGCTCTTTAAAAGCACCTGAACACGTCAGAGAAGGAAATCCCTGCCCATGAGCCCAGCAGCCTGGCCCCAGCAGGAAGCAGAGCTGCAGGATTTCTGAGTCAGCCCTGCCAGCAAGTCCCTGAGTGTGCACCAGCCATTCCTCAGGTATTCACAGCAGAGCACCTGGGGCAGCCTCTGCAGGCACAGCTCCACCTCTCACCCCAGGAATTGCACTGGGAGCGCCCGGGGTGGGGAACAGAGAGGTGGGAAAGAGGCAGGAAATGACAGAATGGCTTTTGGGGTGGCAGGACCAGCTCAAATCAGCTGACAGGCTCTGAGCCCAGCACTGACTCACAGACCACACTGGCCCAACCCCTGTTCTCAGAACACCCCCCAAAAAACCCTCCACCAGGAGAAAAACCCCAGCCCCATATGCAAATAAAGATCATCTTACTGGGAAAGAAATAACACCGGACATGAGAGAAGCACCAGGCTTTGTCAATAAAAATAAATGCACGTGCTCTGTGTTAAAGGCTGTTTGGCTAAAGAGCATGTTCTGAATTCCACTGGCAGTTCCCACAATGTTTCATCACATTCAACTCCAGTCTGGATAGCAGGAGTCAGGATGATTGACACTGGTTCGAGAAAAGAAGTGAAAATTAAGAATGCCACAGGTTTAAAGAGGCATTCACAGGACAGGCACTTCCCAACGAGTCAGACACAAGAGGCCAATTTGCCTTAAGCACCTCAAACAACCTGCTGAGAGAAACAGCAGCAGCTTCAAAGAGCAAATATTGTCTCAGCACCACTAAAAAATGTTTCTTTCTTTGCCACCAGGTGTGGAAACACTAATTAGGGCAGTTTACCAGATGTAACAAAACTTCTTTTTAACCTGCCAGAGAAAACCTTCTGCTTTAAAAGCCTGGTCCCCATCACTGCCTCTGAGGCAGCTCAGGTTTATCTCTGGAAATGAGCTCACACATTAATTATCACACACTGGGTCAGACCCACCAGTTGGGGTTCTGGGGTTATTTTTGGTTTGATTTCTTTTTCACCTCACTTGTGAGACACCGCTAGAGTTTATTGCCAACAGACATCTGGATAATCTGAAAACACACCATGCTCTAGTGCTCCCAAAATGCTCCCACAAGTGTCCCCCATAAAGACTTTTGAGGATACAACCCTGGAATAAGGAGAGTCTATGGCAGATTAAAATAAATTAATTACAAGAATTAATTAGATTAAAATAATTTAGGATGAATCCCGAGTGAAAAGAGAGTCCATGCAGCAGGTTCATAACAACTAGATGGAAGAAGAGGAAGAGAAATGCAAAAGTGGCTGATGATCCTTTGGGACAGGGCACAGATCTCCAGGATGGTAAAATCTAAAGCAGCTGCAGAAAGCTCCCACAATGCCAAAAACCAAGTAAAACTGTAATCTGGTAGGTAAAAAAAAAGGAATGGAGCTGGAAGGAATGCAAAATTCGTGTTGAGCACTGCAAGGGGAAAAGGCACCCAGGCTCAGTGAGAACATCTGTGGCCCAGCAGCAAAGGAGGACACTGGGAATTGTCAGAGAGGGGCGAGACCCATCTCAGAGAGTCTGGTCTGAGGCAGGTACGGACGTTCAGTGCGTCTGTGAATCGAACACCAGAGGGGAAGGACGCGTGGCCAGGGCTCAGGAGCTCAGCAGATCACCCACAACGGGCTGGGAGCTGCTCTGGCACAACAAAATCGGGATAAACCAGCAGGGACGGAGCAGGCCGAGCTCAAACTCACCACGCAATTAAATACTGAGACAGCTCCCAGCAGGACACGAAAATAATCTGGTGCCGGTAACCACGAGTGGATTGTCCGCGACACCTTTCAGCTGCTGGGTGGCCTCAACACACCCCTCCAAAACAGCCAGCCGGCAACAAAGAAAGGCGGGCACAGGCGGGCAAAGCTGGGCACAGGCGGGCAAAGCTGGGCACAGGCGGGCAAAGCTGGGCACAGGCGGGCAAAGCCGGGCAAAGGCGGGCAAAGCTGGGCACAGGCGGGCAAAGCCGGGCACAGGCGGGCAAAGCTGGGCACAGGCGGGCTAAGCCGGGCAGCTCCGCTCTGCCCGCGGGGACGCCGGATCCGGCCGGACGCGACATTCCCGGCCTTCCGCGGAAATCCGGCTGCGTAGGAGGAGGAGATGGAGCCGGACACAGGCACGGCAATAGCACCGAACTCTCGTTAACGGGAGGGACGGGAGCGCATCCCCCGGGCCCACCGTGACCTACGGCCGGGGGGGCCGCGGTTGCCATGGCGACCGCGCCGGGCCTAGGCCCGTCCCGGGCCACATCGCCATGACAACACCAGCGCCCTTCCCCACCACGGAGACCCTCCCGAACTGTCGCCCGCTCACCTGGGGGGGGCGGCGGACGCGCCCTCAGCACATCCCGGGCGGCGGAACCGGACGGGGAGCGCCGGGCACGGGCGGCGGCGGCGCTTCCGCAACCGGGCACGGCGCAGCAACGCGCCGCCCCATTGGCTGCCGCCGGGCACGTGACCGCCGGCGCAGCGCACGCGCACAGAGGCGCGCCCGTCCCCTGAGGCCACGTGGGCGGCGCCGAGCGGGCGGTAATTAAGGGAGGGGTAATCAAGGGAGGGGTAATTAAAGGAGCGTCATTGAGCGCAGGCGCTTGGGAAGCAGGAGGCGGGGCTGGTCACGCCCCTGGGTCAACTGGCCGGAAGTTTCCCTCAGTCCTTCAAAGGGACAGCAAGCAGAACTGTCGTACAGTGTAAGGGCTTGATGCCGTTCATGGTTCTAATCCTGAAATTAGAAGTTCTTAAGGGTTTTTCCTTGTTGAAGTTCTAAAAAGTGAGACGAGGCAGGATATTTCAGTCAGAAAGTACCTAAGATTGCTTAGTCCAACTGCCTGACCAAAAGTTAAAGATCCTATTTTTATTGTGGGTTCAGCTGACCTGCAGGTTGGACTAGATGATCCCCAGAGGTGCCTCCCAAGCCCAGCTACTCCACGATTATTATTAACCTCCCACTTCCACAGTCTCCTTGCCAGCTGTTCCATTCAAGTCAGATTTTCCCACCTTCCAGCTAATTTGCACATGTTTTGCAGCCAGTGTGGAACCACAGATGCCACATCTCACACAGGACAGCAGCAGCAGCAGAGGTCTTTGTCACCACCTCTGATGTGTAGGAAGAGCTCCTATTTTCCTGCTTTTTCATCCTGCAGAGGGGGCTCAGAGAGGCCCAGCAGGACCACAGAAGGGCTGGACACCACCTTTGGCGAGCTCTGCTGTCCTTCCCAGGATGATTCCATGCATTCCCCTGCTGCACTCAGAGCTGGCCAGCACAGCACTGCTAGCCTTTGGCCAGTTTTGCAGCCAGCATTAACAAAACACCCCAGATCTCACCCCAAATTCTCAGGAAGCACTGAGTGAGGTGTGTACTGGGCATTTCCTCAGCAGGGAAGTCAATGGGTCACTGCAGCTCCAGATGGGTTTTGTCCCCACCCCAGCACAGGCCTGACAAGCTGGACCTTCTAATCACTGGAAAAAGAATCCAATTGTCTGAAATTGTTCTAATTCTTCTAGTTGTTCGAAGAAGAAAGCAGCAGATGTCTTTTATGCTTCTTAAATTGTTTCCTTTAATAGGAAGTGCTGCTTTACTCTACCTTGTGCTTCAGAAACAAACGTTTGCCTTCCAAAAATATACAGTGTACACATACTCTGTAGCTATAGATACAAACATTTACAAAGAAACAAGCAGGCTGGAGTGGAATAGCTTGGAAAAAAAATCACACAAGGCCTTCCCTTCTGGCCCTCCCACAGCCAGAGCAGCCGTAAACAGCTCGGGGCTGCTGCAAAACACCATTGAGGGACATCCAACAAACTTCCACACACTGCAGAGGTTTGGAATTGATGTTGCCTGTTGCCATCCCCTCCTTTTGTCCCTGGGATCTGCCTCGGTATCTGCATCCCGCACCCAGCCCCAGCGCTGCCCCAGGGCGCGGGCGGAGCCCAGCCAAGCTCCGAAGAGGAAAACGCGGTTCCGGGCGTTCGCTTTTTGTCTCGGAGGCTTCCCGGGACCCGGGGAAGCCGGGCCGGCCGCGGGCTAGCGGAGGGGGCGGTAGGGGAAGGTCATGCCCGGGATGAAGCTCTGCACGGGGTGCGCGGGCAGCGCGGGCAGCGCGGGGTGCGCGGGGTACCCCAGCGGAGGGGTGTGGATGTGCGGGTAGAACCCCGGGGGCAGAGCCCCGTGGGTCGGCTGCTGAACTGGGCCTGAAATCACCAGCTGGAGCAGGCTGTGGAAAGAAATTCAGACAGGAGATTATTAGAGGAGCTTTTGTCGTGGTTCTAAGGATAACTCACATCCAACTCACAGCGCTGCTGAGAGCCAGGAGAACAGAGACACAGTTCTGTTCTTTACAGCTTCCAGATTTTTTATCATTTTCCCCCTTTTTTTGCTCTTTTTGCAAAAAGGTAAGAAGCAATTGAGCTTAGAGGCAGGTAAAACCAGTGGGGAATTAGAGATGGGACAATTTAGGGGCAAGTTTCTGGCTGGAATTCCATTTCCATTTCTTGTGCCTTTGTTCTAACACAGACTGGGAAAGATCACCCACAGGTGGGAGCACTGAAGCCCCTTTCTGTCAGGAATTCAGGGAAGAAGTCAGCACTGTGTCACCTTCATCCTCATGCTAAAGTGCATGTGAATAAAGGCCAAATTCCACAAAGACAAACTTTTAGAGGAGATTTTTGTCTCAGCAGCCCTTGAGTGTCTTGGAACATGCATCAAAGCCAACACAGCTGCAAAAAGTCTCTTACTTGTTATGTGGTAGCCTGGAGCATACAGTCCTCAAGTCATCTGAAAGAGGACACAAGATTAATAATAAGGATAAAGCAGAAATTACAGTGGTTTTCCTCTCTGCTGTCTTTTCTAAGAAGGTCAGATTACTGAATAATCATTAATCGTACTGAATAATTACTGATTACTAAATCTGTCAATAATCTGTCATCACCATCAGTCAGCAAGAGATCCGGAACCTCTCTCAGGCCCAAAACCTTCATAGGAGATAAAATGTTTCTCCATTTCACTAACTTTCCCCACCAGCCCCTTTATTGTTATATATGTTTGACATTTAAGACAGATAAGCCTTAGGATGGATTTTGCAATACCAACACATGAACAAAAAGTAACTGAGACATAGGAAGTACAAGGTGTGACTCTGCCCAGTGCCTGTTTTGTATTGGTTTGGGTTTTTTTAACCACTGCTTCTGTAAAGAATGGGTTGGGGTTTTCTTGCTGGTATCTATCAACTAGAAATTGCACCTTTCTACCACCTCCAAACTTCTGCTAAAGCAGAATAGCTAGAACCAAGGAATTTAACAACATATCCCATTCGATAAAGTGTTTTCAGGAATGGCTTGAGAACAAACTCCTGCCTTTGTAGACAAACACAACCCCAAAACACTGAAATATCTGGTATTTCAGCAGCCCCTTACACTGAATTACCTTCCACAGAAAGAGCAACTGCTCAGAATGTTCCAGCTAAGACCAAATACAGCTGAAATCAGCCCTCAGATCAAAAACCTCTGATTTCTGTTTGTTCTTATAACACTAAGAGTTACTTTATAAAAGATGAGGAAGAAGAACAGTAAATTTGACCAGCAGCACTGGTTCAGCCAGGACAAAAGCATCAGATCCCTGCTTATGCAGAGGCCACTCTCTGCAGCTGTGGTCTGCACTTAATGTTCCAGGTGTTGGAGAGCTTCAAGCCCTCTGGTGTAACCTAAAATTGTCTGTTTTCAAGAGAATATCACAGGAAAAGAGCCTGTGTGACTAACCCTGCCCTCTGTTGGGTCACTTCCCTTTTATCTCTCTGCATGTCTTTTGGAAAGAACTGGCTTTGGAGACAGGAAAGCCAGACAAAAGCCACGTTAGCAGACCATTTTTACTGAGTTTAACTAAATTTGGACAACCTGTAATGGGGTCTCATTATAGGTGAGCTGAAGTCCCAGAAGTTTCAGTTGAAGAGGTATTATTTGCTTTTCAAATTCTTTGTCTAGCACACCCACCCAGGGTTTTATGTGCTTCATGGCCTCTCCTCCGGCAGGCAAACTCGGAGAACTTAAACTGAAGCAAAATCAAACAGTGCTTTTTAAATAGCTACAGGCAATTCTGAGGAGAACAAAGTGTCCCCATGGCAGACACCCAGATACAGCCCCTGGTGCACACTGCAGGGCTGTGGATCAGTCCCCAGCTCTGCAAAGCCATGCCTGACTCACCCACAGCAGTGATCTCTCCTTTCTTACTCTCCATCCAGCTATTTTTCCTGAATTATTTTGTCCACTATCACTTTCTAACAAGGGAAAATTATTAATTATGCTGTAAACACCTTGATCTTTACTTCCCTCACCCCAAAACTGCCTCTTACAAGTTCACTCTGGAAGAGAAGAATCCCATGCCAGGTCTCTGCCAGCCCCACAGACAACTCACCTCTGGTGCACAGCAGAGCTCCTGATGCCATGGCCACTTGCAAAGCCTGAGCCAGCCTGTCCAGAGCAAGTTCAATCTCTTTGGATGCATTGAGAGGATTGAGTTCATCAGACAGTCTGTTAATGTCCTCCACCAGAGGAACCACGTGGTCAAAGGGTACCAGCCCCAGGCGCCCATAAAGGTTTTTCTCTGTTAGATGCCCCTGGAGCATCATGAGGACCTGCAGGACACTCAGATGCAGCTTGGAATACAGCTGGTGGCAATCCCTATCTTCTCCTGAAGCCGAGTCCTTGGCAATTTTGTCGGGAGCGTGTCCATTGGAGAGTGAGGCTTTCTTCTTCCTTTTGTAGGCCAGGGGAGCCTTGACGCACCAGCGGATGAGCCCGGTCAGCGGGGTGAGCTCCAGAAAGCCAATGGGCAGGTTGGCCGCTATGGGAGTGTTCAGGAAGGTGATGAGGATCAAGCGAGGGTCCTCAAAGATCCAGGAGACAATCAGCTCCAGCAGATCCGAGGGAGGGATGAGATCATCTGGAGACAGGAGAGTTAATGTTGGGTGAGCTGAGCCTTGCACTGAAGCACAGGACTTTCATTTAGGCTCTAATGAGTCTCTCGCACACACCCGTCCTACGCTGTCCCAATTACAATTTCTGAACCTCCCCAGTTCTGCTGGTTTTCCCAAGACACCAAAGGTAGTTTGTTCCAGGGAACACACAACCATATTCTTGTCACCTTCCCCACCTATTCCAAAGACACCACCAAACACTGATATTTATCTCCTTTCCCAGCAAAATTCTTTTGTCATTTTCTTCTCTGCCACCCATCATCTGCTCATTTTTTCCATAATTTAAATCTCCATTTATCCCTTGCCACAGGAAGTACAATGGGCAAGGGAAATAGGAAAAGCTTATTGGGTGAAGAGAAGGAAGTGCCAATAACTCATTTCTTTTAATACTTACTTACCTAAACAAACATGTCTTGTGGAAAAACACAATGCAACAACACAATTACATGACATATAAAGGATTATAAGATCACATAAAGCTTCAGGTGAGAAGTGAAAGA